TCTGTCTATCTATCTATCTATACATATAGCTATCTCTATATATCGATACAAATACATATCTCTATACATCGATATATAGCGTCCCAGAGTTTTCTCAGCACTAGTTACCAATAAGATTTGATCAAAAGGTAGGAACTAATATGGGGAGTGGACAGTGGAAGAAATTAGCACAGCGTGACAAGAGGGGTGGATCCACGCTTGCTTTACACAAGTGACAGGGAGATACTGAGGCTAGATCTACACGTGACATTTTTGCTGGCCTAGTCGCGTGGATAAGGAGCGCAAGGTTTTTACAACATTGGTGTAACCACGACGCTGTAGAGTAGGTGCAGCGATTCTCTTGCAAAAAAAATGCTTTTGCTAAAAGAGCTTCTTTCCCACTAGGAAGCAGTGAAAACTGTACTGATCCATGCACTGTTACTAGTATAAATAGCATCTTCCTGAGGAGGTGTGCCAGGAGAGAGATGCTCGCAGAGCTGGAGCAGTAACCTTCTCTAGCGTAGACTACTTCTGCATCTGACTCCAGAATGGGTGATGGAGCCAAAACGGGGGTGAGGGGCTTGTGTGTATTAGTTTCTTCACGGGTCTGATAAGGACAGACCCATTAACCACAACATGGGTGAAACTCTGTTGCTTGTTTAAAAGATGTCCAGTGCATTGTGACATGGCATTCAGAGCTAGGGGCGGGAGGGTGGGGAAGCAATAAAGGTATCCGATGGGTGCACCTTTGCCGCTGTTAGCATCCGTTTGACTGTTGCAGCTCATTTGGGTTGGAGGCGGATCTGGCCGTATCTTGCTCGAGTCGGTTTGGAGTCAGTGTTGCATGCAACTGGAGCGATGCTTTCTCAAGGCAGATTGCAGAAATCATGTTGATTGATCACAACTTGCACAGAGGTCTCTGATAAAGTACCATCACTGATGTCACCAACAAACCGGGCACCCCTTTGCTTTCCCAGGCCTTCCTGCTATCTCTCTAGCACCAGGATGTCAAAGGGAAGCTGAATGGGAGAAGCGTGGAGCCGTGTGTGCACACAAACCCACTACAGTCATGAAAACCTTTCCTAACGGAGGGCCCAGGAGCCGGCTGTCTTTGGAAGGCTGCAGAGATCAGTAAAACCAACAGAAGTGCCTCATTTGGATTCATTCAGTCGCAGCAGCCTGGGGCTCTTACGGTTTCCCCCTTCCCCTGCGAATGGGAAGCTCTGGGTTTTTTGCACTCGGGTGTACTTTAATCGGAGCTGCCCATCACAGCTGCAGGCAGCAGGTCACTGGTTTAGACAGGCTGCATCTGGTGAATGAAATGCTCCTTACCTTTCTCCCACAAGTGATAATGAACCCAAACAACCTGGCAAAACTTCCTCCTGCGCGCTCCGCACCCAACCTGTGAGCTCCTGGCTGCTGTTGAAAGGCTCGGAGCAGCCTCCTCTCTCGTTGACCGAGCATCTCCTTAGCTGGTTGCAAAGAAGAGCCCAGCTGAGCTGCTCTTGGCCTTGGCGGGCCCTCAAGCAGAAGCTGAGGTCACCCAGGTTTGGGATGACCTCACGCTAACTTTGCCTAGTGGGGGCCCATGTGGCTCGGGTCCTGTTGGATCCTGCTGTAAGCGTGGCTGGATAAATGAACGTCCCACCCTAACGTGGGAGAAGGGCCACCTCCCAATGCAGCATGAGCCTGGCCTCTGCAATGCTGGGCTCAGTGAGCTCCATTGCCTACTGAACCCAAGGGTGACCCAGAAAGCTCCTGTTGAACCAGTGCCCAAATCATTGAACCAGTGCCCAAATTAACTACAAACTCAGGTCCCCCTGGAGCAGCCTGTTCACCTGGTCTATAGTCACAGTCCTGCCCTTTGATGGCCAGGGAGCCCCCTAAGAGAAAACAGAGGGAACCTGAAGGAAACGGCAGAACAGGCTCAATAATCACAGACGTGGGCGCATGAAGGTTGCCCAGTTGTGTCCTCCCACCCGTGTGAAATCCCAGCTTTTGGGCAACTTTTGCATGGCAAATGTGCCTTTCCTTTTGGGCCATCTCACCCCAGCTTAATTTGGGTCTAGTAATATGATTAGCTAAAAGAACCGCTGAAGACGGCTGCTCAAAGTACGGTGCAAACAGCAACATGGGGCTTGTTAAATATTGAAATCACACAGGAAACAAGAACGTCCGTATGTTTCTGAGGCAAAATTGCTCCAGCATGCAAATTTTTAATGGGAAAATAAAGTGAATTGTAATAGTATTTTCCCTGGAAAAGGGGCCTATTTCCAGGCTGAATGAAGTATATATGTGCTTAAAAAGTAGGAGAGTAGCAGGGGGTAAGAGGCCTGGAGGGAGGATGCCCTGGTGTTTTCCTTCTCACTGGCACCCAGATATATGTGCGGTAGGCGTGTGCGTGTGTGTGTGTACATGGGATGTCAGGGGGCCGGGGTCTCCCCTGCTTTTGCCTGGTGTCGTCAGAGGCAGACAAGGGTCTTTGTGTAAGTCCGATCTCTTTTATTAGACCAAGGGGTGTAGTCACATACACCAGATCAAAGCAGCTATAAAAGCTGCTGGAGCTGCAGAGCAGCATTCAGCTCATTGTGGCTGGGAGGTAGGTGAGGATAGGGACTAAAGAGCCAAACCCCTGCCGTGGTGCTTAGTCACTCAGCAAGTCTGGACAGGGAAGCTCAAGCGCAGGCCATGGGGTGACTTCCTCCATTGCTCTGAATGGCTCTTCCCCACCTTTTCTGTGGAAATCCCTGTAGCCAACTGGACCCCCGCCTCCAGTGATGATCTCACTTGGTAAAGCTCACGTCATCTGATTCCTTAAAAATCCCCAAAACACCCCAGCCTCCTCCCCCATCCCTGCTCTGAAGCCAAGGAGCTTTCTCCAGGGACTCATCCCTTAGCAATGCAGCTCCACCTGAAATACCAGTTTGCAAACCAGACTCAGGAATCCAGTGGATAGATTATGACAATTTTGCATGTGAATAATGTTCCCAGCAACATGAGAGAACCTGATTTTCAGCCTGTTCCCCTCTGCTCAGCTCTCCTGGCTCAGAAACACAGGGCAATAACTTGAGTATTCATTATCCAGAAGCAGTAATACAAGTACAAGTGTCAGGTAATGTGGGACAGCCCCTTATTGCCAGATGTCTCCTAGGCTTAAGTGCCTTTGGAAACCTTTTTCAGGATGTGGGATATTCAGGACGTGGGATATTCGTATGGTGCTTGGTGTAAGCAGAAACAGAGCTGGTTGCTTCACACTTGGAAGCAAGCCTTTTCCTATGGGGATGGAGCTGATGGCTGAGGGGGTTATGGGACCTCTCCGATTTTCAGATGACTTCACATACCTCTGAAAGGAAAGGTACTAAGTAACTGGTAAAACTGGACTTCAGGGAGCAAACAGGCCTTAACCCAGCAGGTCCTGGGATGCTACGGCCTGGGATGATTTAATGGTTGCAGTCTTGGCAAAGAGCCTTGCGAGAGACTTTGACTCTTCTTCAGGTCAGCGCCACTCCAGCACTGCCCTATACAACGAACCCAGGTTTTTATTTTAAACAATCTCCTGATTTTCAAGGCAAGTTCATGACGTTTGGGGCCTGACTCACCCAGCTGGAGTGCTTGGACATGAAAGCACGCAGGTTCATGCCGGGACTCCCGGGTTCTGCCTTTGATTCCAGTAGGAGCCAGACCCCAGCCTGGTTTACTGGGAGGCTGCACTGGGAAGATGGACAATCGTTGCTGAGCCTTTTCTTGTGCCCTTTGGATTTGCAGGTGTCCAGCCCTGCTCTGAGCTGCATCACTTCCCCAAGGGGCAATGCTGGGCGTCTTGCAGGGTATGAGCCGAGAGGGGTCTTCCCAGAAGAGGCAGCAAGTTGCATGCTTTCCCTGCGACACAGGATGTTTGTGCTCCTCCCCGTACACGGTGTTCATGACGGGGAGATAAACAGCGACTGATATGCACGTAGCGCTGGAACGACTTACCGGGAGATACCTATGCCCTGCACTTTGCAGCTCACTAAGGACGACTGCACAGGAACAGTCGGTCCAGGTATCAGATCCACCCCGTGGTGTTGCCAGGACAGTGGGCACCAGCACCAAGATACGCTTACAGAAGTCACTTTGTTGGTAGATCCCTTTTCTGCCCCTACCTGAAAGCTGGAGCCGCTCAACTGCAAGGTTTGCTGCGGCTTGTGGATCTTCTGAGCACACGTGGGAGACGATTTAAGCCAAATAACACTTACCGCTTGCCATCGGGAGATGGACTTGGCACTTGCATAGTGGTTGAGAATAATGAGCGTTATTCTCCCCAGCCTTGATGGAAAGACTAGGTCCTGCGTTGGTGACAACGGTCCCTGATTGAGTCCCTCCTTTTTCTGGCTGCCCAAACCAAGGAGACCTAGGTCCCAAGTCTCAGAGCAGCTGCTTTGCACAAGAGGTAGCTAAAAATTGGCAAACCTTTCAATTGAACCTGAGGCCTGAAAGGCTGCCGCGAAGCCAGCGGCTGAGTCAGGAGCAACACCCTGCCATCCTGCCGCTGCCCTCGGGAGTTTTGAAATCAGGGAGCAATTGAGCAACCCACAGGCAAGGACACGCATTAAACACAGAGCCTCCAAGAGATGTCATGCGCCTGGTGGCTTCAAGAGAGCTGGGAAAAGCGATGGAGCTGCTTTTGTTGGTCTGACAGATTCCTCCTACGTCTACACTGCACACCGTTCATAGCGGATCCCTCCCCTCAGCCCCATGTTTGAAAGTTGTTGCCTTCTTGTTGGCGATCTGAGACAGCTCTGTGTCCCTTTTTGGTAAAAACGTGTTATTTGTTATATAGAGAGAAAGAAAGAAAGAAAGAAAGAAGTTTGAAGTTGCCATCCAACTTTCCCATTGCTGCTTCCTCCCTGCCCTTGGCTTGGCCGAGAAAGAAGGCGCCCCAGAAGCGTTGGCATTAGGACATTTTCATTACGCTCATTTCCATTCATTTCATTTCAAAGCAATCGTTTCCATGACGACACAAGGACAGATCCACCCACTTCCTCGGTGAGCCCAACTCTTTATTTTTCATCATCACAGAATTCATCCCAGGTTTGCTTGTGCACACTGGTGGTTGCTGTATTACAGGACATATCACCACGTACCAGATGCTTGATCGTTACAGAAGCGCCTTAACGGAGATCGAAGCTTCTGTTAGCCCGAAGTCGGAACAATCAAAAGAAAAAAATACAAAACCAAAATATCGTCTTAAGCTGCATAGCAAATATGATTAAAAAATTTAACACCAGATTTGACCACGAGCATAAATATACCTCACCATAAATAAATGTAAATTCATTGTACAAAAACCCCCAAGCAGCTCTTCATACAAATATGATACATTTGACAAGATAATTTTTTTTTTTCTCAACATTTTCTTTTAAATTTTTAAAAAACAAAGTTTTGCTCCGGGTTGTCAGCACACCTAAGCCCATTGAACTGGATTCATACAGGGGGAAGTAAGCACTAGTGTGTTGTTCAATGCTCCTAGCATGTGTTGTCGGGGGAAAAAAAACACACCACTGCATGCAGGATCTGAATTGGTTCGATTCCCCTTTCTGTGGGGCTGCTGAGGACCAAGGGACAGGTCTGTGCATTGCAAATACTAAGAGTCACACATTTTAAGGCCACAAAGGGCCGTAACAATCATTTTGTCTGACCTCCGATGTGACCCGGACCTGAACATTTCACCCCAGGATTCCTGCACCAGGTTCAGCAACGGCTTGTGCTTGAACTACAACATTTCCCTCAAGAAGACCTCTGGCCTTCATTGAACGGAGAACTTCACACGCCCCGTCACGACCTGTTCCCATGATGAGCTACTATGACGGCTACCAGCACGCACCTTTTTTCCACTGAAAATGATTAGATTCAAATAAATAAGCCCAAAAGGAAGAGGCTGACCACTTCACTGAGTGGTCTGTGCCCTCCCTCATGGTCAGTCAAGGAGGACTTGAGCTCGACTACCGTCCTTGGGGTGAAAGTCAAGTTGTGTGAACAAGGTGGCATCACTGATCTCGGACACCAACTCCCTGAACCATTTGACCAACACATCTGCATATCCCCTGCAGCAAACACACACAACCATCCCAACAACCCCACTCTTCACTTGGCGCACACAATTTGGGTTTCCTGCTCAAAAATGTTGACCCCTGTACAAGCCTGGAGGGTGCTTCCTACCGTCACGCTCACCACCCCATGTCAGCAAATCTCTGTTTTAGGCATTGCATTTTAGTTCATCCAGCTGTGTTGATAGACCTCACAGGACTTCATGCCCCCAAATTACATCAAAGAACACGACACTTCAAGGCAACATTTATGCATATGTGAAGGTATTATGACTCCTTCAAAAGCCTAAACTTTTGAATTGGCATTTACCTACTAGTGCAGTCGTTAACTGGACTGGCATTTACCTACTCGTGCAGCACATCCAGTAGTGTCTAGGTGGCTGACATGGGGCCGTGGGGTATATCTCATTCTTAACCCGGTATTTTGCAACACAGCCCCAACACTTTGTGACGTGACAGCCACGGTTGGGTATTTCCTTGTGTTGTGCCCAGAGATTGATCCGACGGCCAAAAGTGAGGCGGTGCTTGTCATTCAGCAAAATCACAAACCTCCAACTCCTGAGGTCACCAAAAACCCAATTTAGGATCTCAGTAGGATCGTAGCCCCATTACTTCATAGCACAAACATGCCCGAGTCCACATTCTGCTAACCTTTTCCTATGCTTATGTAAGTCTCCTGGCTTCAGCAGAGTTAAATCAGCGTAAAAGTGGTGTAACAGGGTCGGGAGCTAGGCCTTGCACCCTTTGTGGAAGAGCAGATATGAATCACAAGCCTTAAATATTACTGAGCTCTTGATGTTCTCCTGCTCAAAATACAGTAGGAACAAATTCCCCGCACAATGCAAGCCCTTCCCTGGCCTGTCCATGCCACAGGCAAGACTTCAGAAGATCTCCCTGAGGTTTCATTTAGGTTTCCAATCAAAATGCACCACGAGTTTCTCAGCAAACAGGGTAGGGGGTGCACCTTGTAGACCAACTACATCAGAGATGTGAATGTTTCTCAGTGCAGCTCAAACAGCTGGAAGGGCCAGGCAATGTTAGTGTGGGAGATATTCCTCAGTTCGCAAGAGAACAGATACAGATCTCAGAGAGAACAGAGAGATCTTGCATAAAAATGAATGTCTCTTGCTAATAACGCGGTGCTGGCCGTGGTTTCCTACGACAGAAAATTCGAGTTGGGGCAAATCAACTTTTTGCTCCCCTTAGAGAGAATAATTGCTGAGTGTCTCTAGCTTCCTAACAGCCTGTGACAGCACTGGATTGTGCTGTCTGAAATGGCTCTGTCTGAAAGGATGGGTCAGGTTGCAATGTATTGACACATCTCTATTACCTCCCAGCATGGGTCTTACTTGACCTGACTAATGGCAAGAAAAAATGAAACCTTTCTCAGGGCTGGGGCATGAGGCTGAGGTGGTTTAACAGAGAGGCACGTGCAATGGGCTGCCAACCCTCCAGGCTTTCCCTGGAGTCTCCAGGAATTAGATATAAATCTCCAGGAGACTGCTGAGACTCACCCAGGAAATCAATGATAGGATACTTATTTCATGACATTTGTCCAGAAGGAAGATAAGGCATTTGTTAAAATATTAAATGTTGAATCTGATGTATACAGTAATCTAGTGGGTTTTTTAAATGTAATCGTCGTGTGCGTTCTCCTCCCTGACGTAAAGTCTACGCACCGTGATCCTAAACCAATCTACGCAAATAGCTCAGTCATTCGTGTCATTACGTCATGATGTAATAGATCCAGAATCGGCAACCCTGCACGTGCACGGTCTCCCATTACCTCTGAATCTCCGTGCAATGCTGGGGACACTTCAGCGGCGTTCAAGGGGGCGTTGCAGGAAGACGCAAGGAGAGGAGAGCTCTTGGCTCACCCTGCACATCGCTGCGGTGATGCTGACACGGGGTAGGGTGGAAGAGGGTGAAATTCTCCTGGAAGTTGCTACCAACTTTTTTACTTTGGAAAATCTTGGACACCAGGGAGAGGGAAGGAAACAGCATCTGTATTTCCCAAGCCAAAGCCTCTGAGCACTACCTTTTTTTGCTGCTTCTCTTATTTCCCGTGTGCTAAAAGATCATCTCGCCCCTGTGCGCGAGGGTCTGCATGAACCCTGCTGGCACGCTCCATCCCCCGTGGACCTGTCTGTTGGCAGATGTGCCACGGCGAGCTCACTGAGGACAGAGAAACGGCACTCAAGAACATACGCAAACTGCAGATTTCAGCTCTTTCCAGAATGAGGATTTTGGAGACTGAGCTAAAAAAACCTGAAGTTTTGGGACATTCTGGAGACAGCTGTGGTTGCTCTTGGGATCACTGATTTCTCCCCTCCCTGGGGTATATGCAGGAGCATATTCGGATCAGCATGGCATAGCACTGACTCATTAAGAGCACTCATGGCTCACTCTTTGCAATTAGCTGTAGGAGGATGAAACACAGCGGGAAAGCACCACATCATGACCTTGTCTTCCAGCTGACACCGAAAAGCACCATTCAACCTTCATATCTTTGCTATTTTGGTACACACCTGTCATAAAATCCCCTTACCAGAGACCGAATTTAGGAGGGCCTGGGCTGTATCGCGACAAGCGGGGGTATATCTCCAGCCCCAGGTGGACAGGGAGCTTGCAATCCAGCTCGACATCAACCTTTCTTTGGCCAGACAACTTGCTATGCTGCCTTTTACGCCTCTCTCCAAATTGTCCTGACACGTGGCCCCCCTCGTGCAAGGTGGCGGGAGCTCTGTTTGGCCCCTCGCTGTCCACTTTGGGGGAGGACTTCCAGCGTGCTGAGAACACACGGCTCCTCCGACTGCAACCCCGTGCCCGGGACTTTCCTAGTTTTGTGTTCTGGAAAACACTGACACTTCATGGAAAAAAAGCACATTTTTCCCTAAACCTCCCTCCCCCCATCCCCTCTTTTAAGCTACAGGTAAGACCGATCACAGGGATGTCACAGAAGAACATGCACTCAGACAGGGCCAGGCAGGATGATGCGTCCTTGTGTGTCTTGGGTATGTCCAGTCTAGTTGCATTGCCAAATCCACTCCGCTAAGTCTCCCCTCCCGGTTTCCATCCTGGTCCAGCTTCTTGTCACCCCCCAACCCAAAGGGTTTCATGTCCGTGCTCACACTTGCTGCTTAGCAGGTGGTGGCCAGGGACTGGTGGATTGGGGGCTGGAAGCAACGCACGTGCTCGACGGTGGAGCTGTCTGTTTCCACCGACTTCATGTACTTGTTCAGGATGGCAAAAATCTCGTTGTTCAGGATCTGGTACTTCCTGATGCGGTCAGCCATCTTCTTTAGGGGCTGTAGGGGGGAAAGGAAATAGCAGGTCAGGGGGCTGGTGCTATCCCCCACCATCACCTAGAAAGCATCAGCACTGCCAACCTCCTGCTGAGAAACTCCTCTTGCATTTCTGCTTCTCAGCGCTGGTGGCGTACCTCATGATGCCTGCCAATGACTCATGATGGGGCTTGTTTCCTCACACCTGGAGCTTGACCTTATCTGCTTATCTCCTCATACCTCGCTTATCCCCTCCATACGGAGCATCCTTCAAGGGACCTGGCAGTACCCAAATATACCCCTGGTCGAGAATCGCTGGTCTAAATATTGTGATACCTGGGGTAACCCAACGCGCTGCATTAACGTGTCCCGTTGGACTCGTGGGCTTTGTCATCCCCAAGGGCATGAGAGCAAACTCTTGCTGAGCTGCAAAAGCAGGAGCAGGGGGGTGTCCTGCTTCCGGTCCGTGCAGCCTGCTGTTGTCCCCGGACTTACCACGTTCTTAATGATTTCGTCCTTGCCGTCCTGCCTCTGCACTTTCAGCAGGTGGTAGCAGAAGTCAAAGAGGTCGAAGCGTCGCTGCTGTCCGAGGAGAACGATGATGGAGCAGCCCGCCCAGTTCAGACCGTCTCCAAAGCACTGCCTGAGAGAGACAGAACAGGAGACGTTCAGGGAAGGATCGTCCCCCAAGATACCAGGCACCCCGGTCCCAGCCTCTTGGCTCAGAGGGCTGTGCATGGGAGCAGGAAAAGCATGGGGCAGCCGGAGCGCGGGAGTCCTGGCGTCGCAGTGCTCAGATGAGGCCGGGCGGGTTGGGATCAAGGAGCGGAGAGGTGCTGGCATGTCTCTGCCAATGCCCTCCTGTGTTGACCTTGGGCAAATCACTTCATCTCCATGCCCATCTCCCCTGGTATCAGCCCGTTTGGACTGAAAGCTCTTGGCGGCAAAGCCAGGCTGTGTTTGTACACAGCGCTCAGACCCTACCGTGATACAATGAGGCTGATCTCTGAGACCCCATCCGGGACCCCTTTTCTGGGACCAGCTGCACGTCCCATCGGGTCCCAACACATTGCAGCGAGCCTCTTTGGCTAATGATCCCTCCCAGGCCCACTCACTCTGCCGTGAACTCGTTGGTGCCCACGGGGATGCAGTAGACGAACTGCATGGCGCTCCAGAGGCGGTGAAACTCCACGCACTCGTCCACGTGCATCACCCCGTTGGTTGGCGGGGGCCCGCGCCAGATCGGGTCCTGCAGGTAGCTCCGGATGCGCGTCAGGATCACCTCGAACATGGAGAGCCCGCAGCACAGCCGCTCCTTGGTCAGCAAGTCGCCCTCCCGCGCAATGGCTATTTGCTGTGAAGGGAGCAAACCGCAGACACAAGAGGGGGGTCGTGAGGCAGGCATGGCTCTCATCCCCGCCGCCGTCCTGTCTCTCTTGGCCCTGCCCCGTTTGCTAACACATCCCAGGCCAGACCGGACCCTACCTCTGCAAGCTGCTCCCTGATACCCGCTCCCTGAGAGCGTGCCTCCCCCCGAGGAGATGGAGGATGGGTTACACGATGGGCCAGCAATGGTTTGTGACCCGTAAGAGCGGCTCTGTGCGGTGCTGGACTATGAAGGAGCGTGGCCGGGAAAATCCAGCCATAGCCACTTGTCAGCACACACCCAGAGCACGCTCCTGGCTGCTCTCAGCTGCCCCATGAGTGATTACGGTGGCGTAGTACAGACATGCCTTAAATAGATTGGAAACGAAGGTAACACCTTGGACAAGAGACCGCAGCCCCTTTCCTTACTAGAGGCACTGGCTCTGGTTGCTGCCTGCAGCAGGACTCGGGACTGCTGGCCCACGTGGTCTAGCATGTTACCCATGAAAGCCCGGCGTGGATGCCAGCTTTGCAGTGTTGCTGGCGGGACCAGGGGATTGCTGTGACGGGGATACGCCCTGTACACATGGCTTGCTCAGAGCAGCTGGCTCCCAGGGAAAGTTTGTACGCCCGGCAGTTTGGGTGCTAAGGTTCAGCCTGGGTCCCCGCTCTTCACAAAGCACGAACGCTATGCACGGGACCTAGCTTGCATCCTCGCGCCAGACACCGGTACTTGCATAACAGACACGCACAAACGTACACAGACAATCGGGCAGGCTCAGCCTTGACAATCTGGCTTACGGGATATTTTGCAGTCTTTGAAAACAGGCAGGCGATTGGGGAAACTTGGGTTTTCACAGCCTCGTTACGATCTCTTTGCAAAGCTGGGGTGTTGTAGGGGCCTGGGCTTCTCTCTAGCTGGGGTAAAGCAGTTTTGATCAAGCTCTGAGGCCACCAGGAACTTAACACTGGAGCCATTTGTGTCTGACGTGAAACTCCAGGGAACCAGGCTCTGGTGTTTTGTTCGGGAGCGGGGGGACACGTTTTTGCAACTGAGCACGGGGAGAACGTCCACGCTCGGATGCACGCGTGCAAGTCGGGAACGGCGCCACGGGCACCAACAAGGTCACGTGGAGCTAGTTTGGATTTACGTCGGCATAACTGAGAGCAGGACGTAGCCTCACGATAACTCCCTCTTCACCCCTCTTCCCCCACCCGGCTCGTAGCCACATTTCACCCAGCCAAATCAGGCACAAAAAAGCCAAGCTTTGTGACTACCAAGTGCCCAGCAGGGATGTCGACACAGCCTCATAGCACATCCTCTCTGTTCAACATGCAGAGCAAAGGGGGCATTCCTCAGCTGGAGCAGTTCCCAGAGGGCAGGCTTGAAATGATCGCTATGTTTCAATGACCCCCGTTGCTTCTGTAAAGAGGTTTCTGCTCGACTGCAATCAATGCGGGCGTCCTGGGAAGAGCAATGCCTGATGCAATGGGCAGGTGTGTGACGTGGGGAGACAGCGGCAATGAGTATGTGCGCTCAAATGACCTAATAAAGGGTGGGTGTCTTAATCAGCGTCTACTTGTAGGGATCTGGTGACAGGGCCGTTTTTGTTCAACCGACTGCCCAGATCCATAGTATTTTAGCAATTTGCAGAGACAAATCTGAAGGTAGACGATCCAGTTACAAACCACAGGTCTCCACTAACGGGAGAGGGAGAGGATCCCGGGATTTGCAAGCTCCCTGACATTTAAAAAGGCAGTTCTGTTCCTGCCGGCTTGTGGAGGCAGCAGCCAAAGAGCGCTGCTGGGTTAGCAAATATTGAAATTGGTCGATCTACGCTTGCTGCCTGCCCTGCAACAACAAGGACATCCGCCCCGCGGCAAAGCGCCAGAGCAATTAATGAGGGAGGCAGGGAAAGTCAAGCCGTGCTCCAGAGGACAGGTCTTGCAGGACAGAAGCAGCAGCTCTGGAGTCTCTGGGTCTGTTCAATTTAGGAATGAGTTTACGGTTGACATGACCATGTCACTTGGCCCATGCTCAGATGACTGATGTCTTAAAGACCCCCTGGGTAGGAAGCGGGAAGACTTCCTGCTATTATCCCCCAGAGATGGAGTCAGCTCCCCACTATGACCTGCTTGTGTCCTAACAGCTGTGCTTAAAAATCAAGGCAAAATATCGACTGGGTCAACCCATATGGGCCCATTCAGTCTGCATACTGTCTGTCTGTGGGCGCAGAAAAGATCCTTACTTCAGTGTCTTCTCAGCAGCTTAAGAGGAATTTCTTTTTTGTTGATTAATGCTGCTTGCTCTGCTAACCTGCTATGACACATACTGGTTTCAGGAATAAGAGAGTCCCATAATTTTAATCATAGGGATAGACTTGGAGGATCACAGGAAAGTCAGGCTGGATGGGATCACCTAGCCCAGCCCCCAGCTCAAGGCAGGATCGTCCCTGACTCAACCATCCCATCCTGGCCAAGGGTCTGTCTCTTGAAAATACCCAGGGATGGAGATTCCTCTTGGAAATATCTAGGGATGGAGAGTCTACAACTTCTCTAGGCAGCCGGTTTCAATGCTTGAACACATCAGAAAGTTCCTCCTGAGGTAGCCTTTGCTAGAAGACTATTATTTCCATGCTCAAGGCAGGTGCAGGGCAGTAGCCTTATAGCAACACCTGCCCAGACCCAGGTGTCCCATCATGAAGGCCCTGAAAAAGCTCCCACTGACTCTGATGGGGGGATGAGACTAATGTACAGCACACCTGAGCCCCCCACACGAAACCTTGGTTTCCTCATCCTTGCTGGGGAGGTCACTGAGAAACCATTCTGATCCATCCCATTCTTCCTGAATTGCACATCAAGTAGCTACATGTTCATTAAAAAATATAAATAATGATGTACAGCCTGGCAGTTTGCACCAGTTCATTTAGACTGACACATGCTTCACCTCTTTTTAATGCATAAACCTAGCGGAGTCTGATCCAACACCCAGTGAAGTCAGGGAGAATCATCCCATTGACTGCAATAAGCATTGGATCAAGTCTTTAGAGCACATGGTTTATTGTGCAAAATGGATAGGGCCCAGTTTTCATTAATGGCTTCCCAATCTGCCCAGCCAAAACACGCTCCTATGGTTCTTGATCCCTGCTTTTGGGGGTTGAGCTTTTTAGGCACAAGGAATTTCACTTCTGCCCAAGACCAGATTTCCAGGAACGGATCAGAATGGGTTTATAAACCCGGTGATTTTTGTTTGCATCTGAATATCTGCATTCTCCAAAATTGTGTGCCCAAAAACGTGAAGAACTTGGGAGCGCTTGACAGGAAGTGGAGTTTTTTAGGGGGGAAATAAAATACCTCGTTTTTCAATCACCATCATCCTCACAGTAGTTATAAAGCAGATTTTAAACAATACTTTTTAAGGGTGATTTTGCAAGGAGGAAAGGATGGATAGATACACCGACAAACACACAAAAACACAGGGGTGATTTCTTTTTCCTCAACAATGTCCCTCTCGAAGGGAGCTAATGAGAGATGATACAATACCTCCAAATAAGAACAGAGCCCTCTGCTACACTCTTGAGTTTTGCTGTTTCACGGTAAACCCAGTGAAACAAAGTTAAAAAAATGCCCTTGTTGCATTAGAAAAAATTAGGGAAAAGATTTGTCATCTTTATATTAATGAATATTCACTCCAGGTACAGAAGGAACCTGCGTGAGGATGCTAATCCCAATGTATCTCATGCCATCAGCCACTTGAAGACAGCATTTCTTCCTACAGGTACTGGGTGAAATCCAGACTCCGCTGAATTTTGGCTGCTGACTTCAAAGGAGCCCAGTGCCTTCAGTAAAACATAGACATCATTTGCCTGAAACCCAGGGAACCTAAGTCAGTAGCAAGCTCTCCCAGTGTTTCCACCACATCCCAAAGAAAGTTCCTGCGCTAAGATGTGCAGGATCGTAGGCAGCAACGTTCAAGGTCGTCCATGAGAGCTGCTCCCTCCCTGCTCCCATGTCAACTCGATAAGGAAACACCATCTCCAAACTAGCTTTAAATCCCACAGTGAGACCTCATCAGCCCCTTACATGCATGGGTTCAAATGGCTCTGTCTGATCAGCAGATGCAGAGATTCACAGACAAGGAGGGCTGAAGGGACCTCCAAAGGTCGCATCCAGTGCAACCCCCTGCTCCGAGCAGGACCAGCCCCAACTCCATCATCCCAGCCAAGGCTTTGTCCAGGTGGGTCTTCATCACCTCCAAGGATGGAGATGCCACCACCTCTCTAGGTAACCTGTTCCAGTGTTTTATTACCCTGCTTGTAAGAAAGCTCTTCACATGGCAGTCCTGAATAAAAATACCCTAGTAAGATGGGGAGCATTTTCTGGAGGCCTGTCAGGTCCGTTGGGGGCCTGCAGTGAGTTTTTAGTAGCCAACTGCCCCGGGTTCCCAGGGGCGCCTTACCTGAGGAGTTCCCAGCCTCTCTATTAAGGGAACCAGGTGAAGTGGGGCGTACTTGGCTTCGAGACGCTTCATGCGTACCTCCAAGCGTTCTCCTTCTGTCAAGCGAGCAGCAAACAACGAGATGAGACCAGGAAGTGCAAAACCGGCATTGCCGCAGGGTTGGCTTCGAGCTACCCCCTCCCTCAGTCTGACTTGGGAACGGCCGGGGGGGGGGTCACAGCACAGAAGAGGACCCCGGATGCAAGCGGGGTGAGAGCCGTACAGTCATGGTCCTGATGCTCCTAGTCTCATCAGCTCTGCAGAGAAAGGGCCTTTTGCAAAAGCGCGTCTGCAGCTATTATTGAGCCATGGCCGCTTTTATGCCGGGACTGCGGGCGTGTTTAAAACCCTGACTATAAAGCAACCTAGTTAACATTAATTTGCTGCCTGAATTTCCATCAGATCCACATTTCCATCAGAGGGGGAAAAAAAACATGGGCAGAAACCATCTGTAGCCAGAATATGGGAGATACACTCCTTCTGGGGAGGGGATTGAGCAGTGAGCTCTGTCCACTGTTTCTCTATGGTCTCCTTACCTTTGATGTAGACCCTGGGCAAAATATTTTGGAAGGGAGCAGCATGCAGCAAATCACAAACTTCTTCCTGGGACTGAGGCAGGAGGAAGAAAGATAAAATAGGTTAAAAAAAAATGTCCATTCGGGACTGACTGTCTGGCTTGGTGAGAGCACATGGCCACATTCACCTGTAAGGTGCTTGTTCTGATCCACTGCAGTTCGGTCATTTAAACCCATGTGAACTGAAACTGGGAAAAAAAATACCTCCCCTAAGCCCTTTAAACCTGAACCAGACGGCTTGGGATAGCTCTGTTAAAGAACTTCCTGTCCATACAAATCCAGAGCTTTGATGTGGTCTTCTTGCCCCTCCGCTAATACCAAGACCTGAAGCCGATAAAGAAGAATGATGAATTATTTTATTCTAATGTGATGGCTTCCTGCCACTTACTTCTCTAGAGAGACTTTTGGTGGAAAGAGGGAAGAGCTCCTGGACTAAATGGCTCTAAGGCTTGACAAATATCCCGATCCCTGGGGCTGTTACAATAAGAGATGGGTCTGAAATTAGGTTGTTTTCAATAAGGTATTTGCAGTCAATACTTGCAGACCATAGCATCATAGAAAATGAGGGCTGGCAGGGACCTCAGGAGGTCACATCTAGTCCAGCCCCCTGCTCCGAGCAGCACCATCCCAGCTAGACCGGACTCTAGACGTCGTGTGAACTGGGGAGCACAGGGAAGTAATACAAAGAAGGCCAGAGTGGAATAACGACATGAACTGCCACATGAAAAAACACATGCCAGAAGCTTGGGGAGAACCAAACCCAGACACAGAGGCACAAGAGGGAGAAACCTGGGAGCAGGGAAGCTGAAGGAGACTTCACAGGGATGGCTGATGACAAATTGTGTATGAGCTTGCAATGGGATACAGCAGCAGGGAACACCCGGGTGATTTGGAGCTGCAAACAGAGGCACTACATCATGAAGCATGAGCTTGTTTCTGCAGACTTCTGGGCAGGACGTGCTTTCAGGTCTGGGCTTGTCCTGAGGACTCAGACATGCTGGGGAGGGCCCAGGGCTGAGCTGTGGAAATGATCGGGTCTGGATGGAGGGACTCAGATAGGGCTACTTTATGGTATAGCAGGATCTTTCTGATTGGGATGTATGAGTGGGCAACCCAGCGTCCCGAGAACAGCTTAGTCTTCATTGGTGGCGTGGGCTATTCAGGGGGTGAGAATGAAGCTCCGGGCACTTGTACAGAAATGCTCTGGGGTGTTTGTGAGAACGCAGCTTGGCACATCGTCAGCGCCGGAGGTGGAGGGGAAGGAACAGAGTCCTGAGTCACGTATTGACCCTGTGACATCTCACGTGGATGGTGAGAGGTGGGTGGGAAAGGAGTTTGGTGCCTGCTTGCTGTCTTGGTTATATCATGGGGCACGTGCACATTTATACATAAACATGTGCACATTTATACATAAACCTGCGTTACTGTGCAGTAACCAAGAATTACTGTGCAGTACGGGCATATGTCTACATGTGCAGGTCCATATTGTGCAGTAACTATGGCAACTTACGCCAACAAATTTATGCCTGATTAGTTACTGCTCAGTATTGCACGTGTAGATGCTTAACTGCACAGTAACCTTGTGTGTGTGGACTGACTTGGGACTAACTTTACTCCCAAGTCAGTCCAAATTCAGTGTTACTGAGCTTTAACGCCTGCATGTGTAAATGCCAGTCTAAATCCGCTTACTGTGTAGTAACATACTGCGCAGTAAATTTACTGCATAGTAAATGCACGTGTAGACACTCCCATGGTGGCAGAACCATCTTTCTAGGAGAAAAGAGATTTTCTCATGGCTACATCCATCCGCAAGGGAAACTGTTTCCACCAGCTGCAGCTTGTATTTCCCCATTACCTGAGCGAGCATTTGTCACAAGTAACACATTCCCCCTTAGTCACCCCCTACTAAGCAG